GCTCCTCCAGTCTGCATGTCAAGTGTCCTTGGGCAAGATACTAACCCCAAGTTGCTCTCCGATGAATCCATGCGTGTGTGTGAATGTAGTTAGAAAAGCGCCCAGTTTAGAGACAGTGCTTGTGAGAGTGGGTGTGATTGGGTGAATGTGGCATGTTATATGTATTTGAGTACAGAGAGTAGAAAAGTGCTATATGACAATCAGTCCATTTACCATTCTGTCCCAGTACCAACCATTTGCCTCTTCCTTGTAAAGTTTGATCATTAGCCCTCTGTTCTTGTTCACATGCAGATGATTTCTCTAAGCACTGCTCCTGCCTGTCAATAGCACATGCAGCCACTGCAGAATGAGCACAGACTGAGCTGTACTGACCGTCTGAGGTGAAATGGAGACAACACAGTACCCTGTGGAGCTCTGAATCTCACATCACCAAATCACACACACAGTTTCATGGTACTACACTGACACAGCTCCTCCTCAGATACTGTGGCCTGTCTGTCAGGCGTGATCCATGAAATGGTGGATGAATTTAGTGAAATGTCCTGTAGCTTCTTCTCTCTCAGTGTCAGTGGCTGACTGGTGTTTAAAAAAATCAAAGAAGGCGAGCCCCCCCAAAGGCTAACCTCTTTGCTGCATCCAGTCCCAGATTTGGTGTGTATGCTAACTGCAGAAACTCTATAGATGTTTCCACCTGTGGTTTTAGCTGCGTCAAGAAATACACTTCATCAGAAGTGCTGTGAGGGCAGCTGGTGAATACTCATTAACTTCAGATGTTCTCAGATGATCATGCACTGCTCCACTAATGTTGAGGTCGAATCTCTGAGCTGACAGAAAGTGCGAGGTACGTTTTTACTGCACTGGCAGTTTGGCGTCATTGTCAAACTGAAAAATGAAGCCGTAGCACGATGGAAAACACATCTCACTGTAGTTTTCTGTGTTTATACTTCCCCAATAACCACTGGCTCAAACGCAGCCCCAAACCATGACACAGCCTTTTTAACTGTCTCCTGACCTCCAACATACACATCCATAATTAACTGAATCAAGATGTCAAATTTGGATTCATCGCTCCATAAAATGTGTTACCACTGACTTTCATGAGGCTCCAGTCTTCATCCACAGTAACAGGGTGGAGTGTGTACCATGGTTTCGACTCCACGGGATCTCGGATCTATCAAGGAAAGCGAACATCACAGCTCTGTTGGATAAGGTCACTTTTCCTAGGAAGGATAAATCTGCTCCCCCTACAGGTGCTGCCGACCAACTACAGCAGGGGTGTCCAAACTTTTTTCACTGAGGGCCACATACATAAAAATATAGGAGGGGCCACTTACTAGAAATGAGGTATATAGCCTTAACTTTAGTGTATTAAAGTTAGAAAAATCACTTAAAAGTGGTCAAATGTGTTATATTGTTGAGTATAATTAAAGACAAACTGCCTTCATCCCATCTTTCCATAAATGGATCTTTATTGATTTATCCAGAAAAAGCTTTGGTAGCTCATTCTCACAACAGCCTCAGATTTCTTCTTAGACAGAAGATTTACAGCACAGAGAAAAAACAAAGATGTGATGGGTACATTTCAAGCTTATTTAAGTTATTAGGCTCAGCAACACACCTGTTAACGTCCGTTTGAAACCGTTATCAACATTAACAGACTGACCTGGGCTTAATCACAGGAGTGCATCATTTTAGTAAATTCTTCTGGTGAGTATCAGCTGCGCTGGGTTTGTAAATCGGGCCATCCAGCTGTGGTGCTGATCGCCACTCGTGCCAAAAATCAGATGTCACTTGATCAAGGAGCAGATCTGCATCAGATGAGATCAGCTGACTACGTGTGCGTGCGCTGTGCATATAAAGAAAGTGTTGCGCAAAACCAGGGTGGTGACAGAATTGATGCACATTATTGATAATTGAAGCATGTGTACCTGCACATGCATGCTTATTAACACACGGGTACTGTGGAATATATTTGTAAAGTGCTCGAGCTCTCGTCCACTCCCCGCAAAAATAAATAGCAGCTGTGCGGCATCTGTGGCGTCGGTGCTCTCCTCACATGCGATGGAGTAAACATCAAAAGCACAGCTTTATCAGACAGATGCAGTTTAATGTTGTCTGACGAGTCTTCAGTGCGTCGCACGACTGGATTTCTGGACACGCTGACGTTGTTGAAGTCCTGCACTTTTTCCACATTATTTCGGTGACTTTAACGAGGCCGTGTTTTATGAGGTCTCCATCTGAAAAAGGCTCGCCATGTCTCGCGATGAGTTGGGCGACCTCATAGCTGCCATCGGAGCCTTTTCCTAGATAATTTAAGCACGAAATAAATACTGTTGCTGACCCTGCAGGAGAGCTACCCTTTGCTTTAATTTCTGCTCTCTCCAGTGTAGGATGCATAGGCCTGATGTTTGGTTTCATAATGACGTCGTACATTATATTCTTTCATAACTGCCACAGTTTCAGTGCAGATCAAACAGACACACTTTGTCTTGAATTCTTTGAAGAAATATTCACTCTCCCACCATGTCTGAAGTTTTCTGCACTCACTTTCTTTCGCTTCTTTGGTTCTGACCTGTTTAGTAACTTGGGGGTAAATTTCTTCTGTGATTGTCCTTTTTGGTGGAGCAACTGCTTTGATCAACAGCAGCTCCCCCTGGTGTTAAAACTAAGAAGTGCAACACACTCAAGCAAAAGTTGAAGTGCGGCCATATTCTATTCTATTTATAAAATTACTTGCAGGCCAATTAAAAGTGGCCCGCGGGCCCTGAACTACAGCTATACCACAGAGACCTTTTTCATATCCTAACATCTTCACAGCAGCAGATCAGAAAACAGCTGCTTGGGTTAAGAGACTGAACGATTTCTTGACAAAATTTCTTCGCCGTGCTGTAAAAGACTCGCTGTCAGTTTTGCAAATGCTTGATTGCAGTTTGCAGCAGATTGCTGCTAAGCCTGGCCCAACCAGTTATTAGGTTTACGGGGAATGTCTTTTCCCCACAGGGCCACGTGGGTTTGCCTTCATTTAGAAAGTGCATTTTGTGTTTACTTCTGGTATCTTTGTCTAATATTTACATTTGTTTGATGATCTGAAGCATTTAAGTGTGAACAAACACACAAAGAAATAGGAACTCAGGAAGGGGGCTTTTTCACACCACTTTGTCACAATGTTACTGGAGACCAAAGAGATGAGTAAGTATCTAGTTAGACACAAACACAAGCACCAGGAAGCTTACTGCAGTTCTGTTATTGGGTGTGGATGTCAGGATTGGCGTTGGTTATGAAAAGAGTCTCTTAATGAAAATGTTGAAGCTTCTCAGAAACATGAAAGTGTCTTAAATCAGTTTAACATAAACCAGTGGCCTTGGAAACACTTCCAGTTCTCTGAAGGTCTGTGGGTAAATCTAGGACGAGCTAACACTTTCCTAAAGATATTATGGTCTCATGTGCTAGTTTCCAGTCATATTAAAACAATATGCAGTCAATTTGTAAATGATAGTCATTATAAGAGACAGTAGTAGCTGATATTAAAGTTCTAATGTTAAGCCACACAACAATAAAGTAACAGTTACCGTTTTTAAAAGAAAAAGAATCTTTAGATGCTGTACAGAAGCACAAAAATGAGGCTTAAGCTCATTGATCTGGTAAGCCAAACTTTAATTAGTAAAGAATAATAAATAAGAACAAATAAGAAAAACTCTTATTTCTTTTCAGCACTGTGGCCAGGCTGACAAAGAGTCCGTCTGTTGAGCAGAGGATTTGTTTAAACTTAAGAACTTCATGAATTTCTTCAGAAATAACATTTTAACCATTAAAGAAAACAAATCCTTACCAACTCACATAACTTCTTATTATCAGGAATACCCAGAATAGAAAAGAATAGCCCCTCATTGTCATGGTACATGGACAAAGAAATGATGTGAGCTCCACACCAACTGTACAGGAATCAAATATAAACAGTGACATGAGGAACAGATAACAAACAAAGGAACACTTTGGAGAACAAAGTGCTTGGAAGCAGTGCAAAAGGACTTATTGAGTCCATGTGTGAGTGGCCTCAGAGGCGGCCTTTACTCAGACCATGGCTCTGATTGGTGAGGTGAGTGGGCAGGGGTGTGGGGGGATAGTGTTTTTTGTCTGAACAAAAAACACTATCCCCCCTTTTAGTAAGTCTTTAGTAAGGCTGGAGATGTGGGACCTGACTGACCTGAGGGGCTGACTGGAGGGGAGCGGGTCAAACAGGTGTTGGTGTGAGGGCTCACCTGTGCTGGCTTTGCTTTTCCTGAGACAGGAGGATCTGGCGAGGGCCTGTCAGAAGGCAGACCATGATTTTTTTGGTGTTACTGACGCTCTATGCAGCCTTCCTGCTCTCAGTCGTGGCCCCCGAGGAGCGGTAGAAGCCAGCTGGTCCAGGTTATTCATCCTCAGGGCAGAGAGGAAGACGCTACTGGGCCTTCTTCACCCCAGTGATGGTGTTGTGGGTCCCCATAAACCCGAAGGTGCAGACAGATTCGTCTGATCTGAGCCTCCTGACGTCCATTATGAGTTCTTTGGTTTTAAGGATGTTCAGCTTGAGGTTCCTGTCTGAGTGCCAGCCGGACAAATCCTCCACCTCTGCCCTGGTAAATGCTGCACCATGTCTGCTATTATGGTGTTGAATGCTGTGCCGTAGTCCATGAAGAGCATCCTCACGTGGCTCCTGTTCTTCAGATGGTTCAGCTCTGTGCACGCTGATGGTGATCCTCTGTGAACTTCTCTCCTCCAAACTCTCCCAGCTCAGCGTGTCACCAGCTTCCTGTCAGACAGGAAGCAGCAAGTGAGGCTGGGGGAGATCACCTCTGAAACTCGGTCCCTCAGTATTGGATCCCTCAAGGATGTGTCCTCACTACTGTTCTCCCTCTACACCAGTGACTGTTTGCAGTTGACCCACCGTCATCGGCCTCATTCAGGATGGTGATGAGTCTGCATACCGGCAGGAAGTTGAGCGGCTGGTACTCTGGTGCAGTCAGCACAATCTGGAGCTGAACACTCTTTAAACTGTAGAGATGACCGTGGACTTCAGGAGACATCCCTCAACTCTGCTCCCCCCCACCATAGCAGACAGCCCTGTGTCGACTGTGAAGACCTTCAAGTTCCTGGGTACCACCATCTCCCAGGACCTGAAGTGGGAGACCAACATCAACTCCATCATATTACATTATATATTGCTGTGCTTGAGAGCCACCATCTGCCGGAACCAAGTTCCTTGTATGTGTCTGCAGATATACATGAGTCTGATTTCTGAGTCTGACCTCCCTGGTCTAACAGCACAGGAGAAAACAAGGCTTCCCAGAAATATTGGGGAGCTCACTCCTACTCCGCACTTCACACACATGCTGGAATAACTAAATGGCTGCGGTTGCTCAGTCTGGACCTGGGGAACTGCATGGGATGCTTCCACACCCCTAACGCCGCGGCTCTTCCATCGTCCTCTATTGGTTATGTCCACAGAGGGAGCCAGTTACAGCGGGCCCATCCTTGATTGATCACAGCACAGAAACAGCTTCAGTGAAGGTTACACATGATCTTCTCTGACAGTGGACTGTGTGCTCGTCCTGCT